TGTGTGTGTGTGTGTGTGTGTGTGTGTGTGTGTGTGTGTGTGTGTGTGTCTTCAAATCTATTGAAGAAAACCAGAGAAATGTAATGTACAGTCACACCTTTCTCCTCGCTTTTCTCATCAAAGAAAACAATCTTGCTGGTGAAGTTTGGGTGGTTACACAGTATGACATTATCAACTGCTCCTCGAGATCCATAACAAAAAGGCAAGATGGATGTATCGTCACGACAAACTTGCTGTAGTCTCAAACTTAAGTTCGATTTAACTAGGCAACACATAGTCTAAAAATAGTGAAAAAAAGGGTTTTATCCCTTTTTTGTCCCTCAGCAACAAACTCTGGTTCAGCACTGTTAGATTGCCTTTTGTGTGGCCACCTGACGTTTGAGTCAGACTTATAACGTTTGACAAAAACTCATTGTTTGGTTGACAGTTTTGCAAGACAGTGATGTGGAAGAGAAAAGTCAGTTCAAAGAGGCTGCACAGTGGAGCTCATTTTTAACATTAACATTCTCATAAGCTTAGAGTGACAGTTCATTTCAATCCAGGTATAGTTTTATTGTTCCAGGCCATAACAAAGATAAACACAAATATTTGATTAGGGTAAGTAGAAAACAAAATAAATGTATTTCAACAGGAGGAAATGACCAGCAAAGCCAGACTTGGTGGTCCTGAACTGAATTGCCTTCAGGGACCAAAAAACAGAGAGAAGAATGAAAAAGAAAAACAATAAAAAATATAGTATTTCCTGAATTCATGCATGTTGCCCGCTGCTTTTGATGACAGAGTTTTAACCTAATCTGCTCTTATTAGAAATGACCAAGTTGTAGATGTTTTAGTTGCAAAATTGTGAGATCTTGCATGAGATTGTGTGAAACGTCCATTTACAAGGAAGGTAACCCTCAGCCACTACGACATCAATTCTTAGCCATTTGTGTGCTTTCTAAGGTTAGTTAGCTGTGATGGCCATCTTGATTTAGTTTGTGTTCAGAAGTTTATCAGTTGTTGATGTCAACCTAGTGATAATTGTCTGAAAGCTTCATTAAAATTCCCAAACATCCAATGTTTATTCCAATAGTTTAAGGTKGAGTTTAAAAGCTGTGTGTTCGCAGAAGAAAAAACATGAAAACGTCTCATTTCACAAGTAAGCAGATTTTCTTATTTACCTCAATGTGGATGTGAACTGACAAGAACTGAAGCTAATATGTAAGAATCTAAAATAAAAATAAGCTTATAAAGCCAATGCAATTACTRGTAATTTTTGAATTGGTTAGAAGACGTTAGCTTCTGTAGCATATGTTATACAGCAGGCATGTCCAACTCAAGGGCCGGTCTCCTGCAAGTTTTAGATTTGTCCCTGCCTCAACACAGCTGCTTCAAATGGATGATTTACCTTCTCAGTTTGCCATCAAGGTCTGCAGAGACCCATTAATGAAGCACTCCTTAGGTTCAGCTGTGTTGAACCAGGGCAGCACCTAAAAYATGCAGGACACCGGCYCTTGAGGACCGACTTTKGATGCCACTGTTATACWGCGTGTAGCCCTACTGAATCATGCTACAATTAAACACAAAATATTAAATATTACAAACTGGTTTTACCTCTGACTTAATACTGTATTTGCACTGTGTAAAATAAAAGAATTGGATCAAAAGGGAAAAAAAACTGTATAGGTCCTCTGGACGGGTTCTTCTTTAATGAAACGTTTCAGAGAGACGAAACGTTTCATTAAAGAAGAACCCGTCCAGAGGACCTATACAATTTTTTTCCTTTTGATTTTTTACCTGGATTACTGAGATGCATCAGGACAAAAGAATTGGATATTTAACAGTTTTTTTAGGTTTCCATTAGACGAAGCTGAACTGATGGGAAAATGATTAGCTAATATCAGTAGAGTCGAGTTTCATCCTATAACTGGGTGTCCAGTGAATATTAATTAAGGGTTGGCTGGGAAAGATTTATTATTTATGGTATGTAACAAATTGAAAATATACTTAATTGCTAGTTGAAATCATAACTTTTCAACTAGCTAAACAGTCTAAGTTACAGACTGACTTCAGGTCTTGTTTAGAACATTGTTACTTATAAATTATATGTTTTTTGCTATATATCTAGCTGCTTTACTTTATTGCTGAATTAAAATAACATAAGTAATTTCTTGTAAACAATATTACAGCTAATTTTTGACACAGATTCAGTTGGGCTTGCTGAAAATTTCATGAAAATCCTTTCAGTGATTCAGGCAATATTGTTTTAGAAATACAAACAAACAAACCCATGGCCCCTGTTACTTAAGCGCCTAGAGACCTGCGATGCCAAATGAGGTGCTGATTTTTTTTTCTTCTGGTTTTCTCATTTTAGTTTGTCTTTCCCCCCCAAGCAGCCACAAATTAGAAGGGAAACACTTCACAAATCTTATTTTTAATTGTTGACTTGCTGCCTGTAGCTAACAGCAGTTGAGATCTAAACACGTGACTTTTTACAGGTATTCARTGGAGCTCTTAGACTTTTTAAGAAAATGTCTGGCACCTTTCAACAGTGATGCAATTATTGAGGGTATTTTATTTTGGGAAAATAAACAGAAACACTCACACATTCAATATACTCCTTATAGCAGACACAGTACCCATGTGCTCTCCAGCTTCTCTTATTCTCTCAGATGYACTCAAGCATCATATAAAAAAACAAACAAACAAAAAACAACTGCAATGTCTTGTCTGACGTTTGTTTTTGTCAGCCATTGTCTCTTTTTGCAGCACCACCACCCAAAGTGCAGCTATAATACTGTATATCAACATTTTTTAGATATGATGAACTGTTGATCTGATGATGAAATTTAGTTCAGAAGTCATCACATCATTTGTGCTACTAAAATACATCTGTGAATACTGTGAAGGAGTAGTCCTTAGTRTCCTTAGTGTCATGAAGTGCTCTGGAGAGAAAAAGCTTCCAACAGGAATGGACTGTTATTTGTTGTTATCTCAGCTGAGAAAAGGCTACAAAAATAGGTTTATAACCCTGCTGCAGTGTTGTGAAAATCACAATTTAATGGTCATCTCAATGGTCAGTTTCAGCACAATAAGACAAGTTGTATTACTCACTCAAGTGTTATAAACTCCAGGTRATGCAGCACATGGGTGTGTTGATATTTTGAGGTATTAGCTTAGCATTACTTTAGTCTGTCATCTTAGAGATCGAGTCACCAGCTTTAAGCTGCTTGTTAGGCAGCTTTTCAAGCTCAACAATGACCTGTGGTCACAGTCTCTGCTAACTGGAGTCAAGCCCCAGGACATATCCACTTTTCACATTTTGTCCATTCTCTTTAGAGTGTGTGCAGATTGTTGACATCCACTGGCCCAGTGGGGTTAGCCTGCTGCTAGTAGCTGCCCCACTGCAGTGGAGGGRCCATGATGTAAGCTGGCAATTTATGAGCTGAGAAAATGTAGTAACTTGGAGGACTAAATGTCATTTGGAGTATATATACAGTATATAGTGTTTCAGTGGGTTTGTATTAACAATTTCACTGTATTATTAACTGTTTACTAATGGGAAGGAAAGAGAAGTCATCGCTTTACAATGGTATCATATTTTAAAAGCAACACATTTTGATTTTTCATCATTTTGATACTAATATGAAAAACTACATACATACATACATACATACATACATACATACATACATACATACATACATA